AAAAAAAAAAAAAAAAAAAAAAATAGAAAGATTGTGAAGTTTTGCATCGAACCTCAGCAAAGTTCACACCGAACAACAGAGCAAATCACTGGCGGTTAACGGTTGACGCGATGTGTGGTGCTTTTAGTTGTTTGAACTGAGAGGGAATGAGAGAGCGAGGGAGAGGGACGGGGGGAGAGACAAAATGCGGAATGAGGAGAAAAAATGAAGTATTGCTGGTGTTTTGTTTGTTCATCCGTTTTTATGACAAAATACGAGAGGTTTCCAACGACTGTCAAGGATGGTATTACGTTTCTTACTTTCAGATTTAAGCTTTTGCTTAGACGATCGACCTTTAATGCTTACCACATGTATAAAAAATAAGAAGACAATCCCCACTTATTCATCGAACTACACACCCTTTAAACACAAAGACACCTTAAGTGCTGTCGCTGACTTGTTTGACAGCTCAGTTTTTACAGTTTCAAATTTTATTTTTTTTTCATATAAACTGCAACAAAATGCCAGTGCTTCAGACATTTACACATTGCCACCTCCTAACCTTAGAATTACTTTAGTAGAAAATTTTAGTAAAGAACTTTGATTGACGTGTTAATTTGACAGAGAAACAACAGTTACAACATGGTGAGTAACATTCCTTTTCCTTGGAAAAAGGAATGTCTATCGGTACAACAGAAACCAACGACGAAACCACAAATGATGACATACAGTTGTTTTTTCTGCTATTTTACGTCTGTAAAAGGTAATAAAAGACTTTATTTTTAAATTTAGACGTCTAAAATGAACATTTATCTGAAAGAAAATAGGAAAAAAATGTAGTGAAATGAAGACGAGTTGCCAACGACGGTTATCATACAGACAGTTTTGGGTGTCAAAGATTTTTGAACTGTTCGAAAATTACTTTGATCTTCAACTGCATCATTTACTGTTGTCCCGACTATTTTCGCTTTTTTTTTTTTAAACATTAGAAATCCGTTGTTCGGTAACTTTTTTGGTTTCACCGGAGCTCTAACGGTTTGAGGAGCAACGTGAAAGAGTCTAAAGCATTGTGAAACAGTGTAACTTTTCAAATTTTGTGAAGGCAAACAAAAAATATGGATGTCAACAAATTACTTTTCTCAGTTTTTACCTGGAAAGTTTATTTAAGTTTGCTTTTGCTCACCGTGGACTGATATTCGATTGAATCTGTCAGACTAATGGCCCTAAGATTGTTGCATTTTTTGAAATATACAAAGAAAGCGATGTTTGAACGGGGGACTGAGGGAAAGGATTGTGTGGTTGAAATGTTCACTGGGATATTATTGCTGCTGAAGTTAACACATTGTGCTTCAAAATTTCTTCCTCTTCTCCTTAACTTTTTTTTGGCTTATTCATTTTCTTTTATTATGCATAACGAAATTTGTTTAAAATCAATTTGTTTTTTCGGTCTTCACTTTTCCTAAATTTTAACTTATTTGCATCTTTCTCAATGCTTTTTCTTTTGATAAAAATTTATTCTAGTTTAAACTATCTGTAAATATTTTGAAGGAACATTTAAGAGTGATGGTTTATAAGTTGTTAGCATAAAATGGCTGTGGAAATGCATTGAGAATTTATGGGAGTTACTTAAACTGGGCAAATAATTAGAGTTATTTTGGCTTCAAGTAAAATCTATTTATTTGTTGTCAATTTTTAGTTCAGTTACTGCCAAATATGCATTTTTTTTTTTTAAATTGATCACATCAACTGTCTAATTTTTTATTTTTTTTAGATGGAATCTACGACTGACTCGTTTGGATTTGTCCAGAGCTTTTTCAAAAAAAGTAACTGTCGACGAAAAGCAGTTAATGCTACGTAATATGTTCACTTCAACAAATAATCATTTCTTCAGCCTTAAAGACCTATTTCTTAACGACAACGATCTCAACGTATTAGCTGTAGATGCTTTTTGTCGGGTAAATTTCTTTTAAAACTTTCATAAACTTTTTTCTTCTGCTTTTGTCGTCGATTTTTTTGGATAACGTTGCTACCTTCGACAGCTAGAAATTTCTCTCCCTGCATTTGTTGCTGTGAAGAAAGGGAATTGGGTAGAGCGATAGAGCCAATAAACTGGAGATTGCAAGGAATATGAGGAGAACAGATGTCGGATAGAGAAGATGCAGATAAAGGCAGATAAAGAAAAAAAAATCAAGAAAAAAATTTTGGTTATTTTGTGTTAATTTTGAAGAAAATAGTATATAAAAGTTTTTCTTTGAACTTATTAAAATATTTGTATGGTAACCGAAAGTTTTTTTTACTGTTTTGCTCGGATGCAAATCGCTATGTCTAAAAGTTGTCCGAGTTGCTCAGTTCTGATCAAGAACTACTCTTGAGGGTTTTTTGAACGTTGTTTTAAAGCCGAGGTGTAAGAATGGCAATTCTGCTCTGTAGGAGAGGATTTATAGATTGCTATAATTTGTTGAGATTACACTGAATAAGAACTACAGTGTTTTGGTCAAATGT